CCTGCTGCTGCTGCTGCTGCTGCTGCTGCTGCTGCTGCTGCTGCTACTGCTGCTGCTGCTGCTGCTGCTGCTGCTGCTGCTGCTGCTGCTGCTGCTGCTTCATTTTTGTTGCTGCCCTTCCTGCTGCTTTTGGTCTCTCTTGCTGTTGCTGTCACTGCTGGTGCTGCTGCCCTTGCTGCTGCTGCTGCTGCTCTTGCTGTTGCGGCTCTTGCTGCTACTGCTCTTGCTGCTCCTGCTGTTGCTGCCGCTGCTGCTACTGTGGGCGGGTTAGCGGGTACGTGCCTGCTGCTGTTGCTGCTGTTGCTGCTGTTGTGTCGTTACTGCTGCTGCTGCTGTCCTGCCATTTCTGCTGCTGCTGCTGCTGCTGCTGCTGTTTACAGGCGCAGCACTTAGCGAGAAAACCATCACAAAGACTGTCCGCTTCGCCGGCCGCGAGTTTCAGTAAGAATAGCCGTAGCTAGCTAGCTAGCTAGCTAGCTAGCTGGCTAGCTAGCTAGATAGCTAAATAGCTAGCTAAATAGCTAGCTAAATAGCTAGCTAGCTAGCTAGCTAGCTAAATAGCTAGCTGGCTAGCTAGCTGGCTAGCTAGCCAGCTAGCTATTTAGCTAGCTACATGGCTAGCTAGCTGGTTAGCTGGCTGGTTATTCGGCTAGCTGGCTAGCTAGCCAAGTAGCTGGCTAGCCAAGTAGCTAGCTAGCCAAGTAGCTGGCTAGCTGGCTAGTTAGCTGGCTAGCAAAGTAGCTGGCTAAGTAGCATCTTTGCTGGTGCTGCTGCTACGGCTGCTGCTGCTGCTGCTGCTGCTGCTGCTGCTGCTGCTGCTGCTGTGCTTAGAGTTGAAGAGAAAGTGTCGGCTGAGCGTTTTGCTGCTCTTGAGAAAACCCAAAAGAAAAATGTGGAAGTCAAGGGAAACCTGCAGGCCCTAGATGCCCTAGACAAAGGTGCTGCTGCTGCTGCTGCTGCTGCTGCTGCTGCTGCTGCTGCTGCGGCTGCTGCGGTTGCGGCTGGGGCTGCTGCTGGGGCTGCTGCTGCTGCTACTGGTCCTGCTGCGCCTCCTCTTCCTTTTTTTTCTGCTGCTGTTGCTACTGCTGCTTTTGCTCTTGCTGCTGCTGCTGCTGCTGCTGCTGCTGCTGCTGTCCATTGTGGGGCTTCTGCTGCTGCTCTCAGCGCTGCTGCTGCGGCGGCATCTGCTGCCATTGGGCGGGTGACTTTGCTCACTGCAGCAGCAGCTGCTGCATCTTTTCCCGCTGCAGCAGCTGCTGCTGCATCTGCTGCTGCTGCTGCGTGAAGCTGCTGCTGCAATGTGCCCTTCGTTTTGCTGCTGCAGCTCTCACCAACGCGGCTTCGATTAATTCGGTGCAGAAGTCTCGCGCGGACTGGTAAGCGGGTTTAGGGTTTAGGGTTTAGGGTTTAGGGTTTAGGGTTTAGGGTTTGGGGGTGTTGGCGTGCGCTCACCGCAGGAGCCAATTCAAGGAGAAGGCCGGAATTGAAGAGGAGCTCAAAAGAGGCAGAGGGTACGCAGCAGCAGCAGCAGCAGCAGCAGCAGCAACAGCAGCGACAGCAGCAGCAGCAACCGTAGCAGCAGCAGCAGCAAAAGCAGTAGCAGCAGTAGCAGTAGTAGTAGCAGCAGCAGAAGCGACAGTGGCAGCAATTGCGCTAGAACTCGCCTAAGTGAAAGTGGCAGTAGAAGCAGCAGTAGCAGCAGCAGCAGCAACAGCAGCAGCAGCAGCAGCAGCAGCAGCCCTACCAACAGCAGCAGAAGCAGCAGCAGCAATATAGCCATGCTAAAATGCTGCTGCCTCTCCAGACCAATGCGAGACAGCCACAATTCATCACAACTGCGTTGCCGCTGCTTCTGCTGCTTCTGCTGCTTCTGCTGCTGCTGCTTCTGCTGCTGCTGCTTCTGCTGCTGCTGCTTTTGCTGCTGCTGCTGCTGCTGCTGCAGCTACCTGGAGCGCCAGGCGTTCCTCGCGAACACTACATGGAACATTCACCAGCAAAATGTTGAGCTCAGGAGGCAGCAGGAGCAGCAGAAGCAGCTGCTGCAGCAGCTGCAGCAGCCAAGGCGCTCAGGGCTGTGACCAGCAGCAGCAGCAGCAGCAGCAACAGCAGCAGCAGCAGCAGCAGCAGCGACTGTTGCGGCTGCTGCTAGCCAGCTGCTACTGGCCCAGCAGCAGCACAGCGTACCTACCGCACAGCTGTACCTGCTGCTGCACTATCTGCTGCTATCTAGAGCTCCGCGTGCCCCTTGCTGCTGCAGCAGCTGCTGCAGCAGCTGCTGCAGCAGAAGCATATTTGCTGGCAGCAGCCACTGCAGCAGCAGCAGCAGCAGCAGCTGCGGTAGCCCCCCACAGCCCAGTGCCTCCTCGCTGCTGGTTCAACTGCAGCGGCAGTAGCTGCAGCAGCTGCGGCTGTTACAGGTGGAACAGCAGCAAGTCAGCAGCAGCAGCAGCAATGCAGCAACAACGCAGCAGCAGCAGCAGCAGCAGCAGCAGCAGCAGCAAGTCTGCCATTTCGCTGCGCTTCCTCCTGCTGCCGCATGCACTTCGCATCTTTTTTACTTTTTATTTATTATTTATTATTAATTTGATTATTAATTATTTATTTCTTTTTACTTTTTATTTATTATTTATTATTAATTTATTTATTAATTATTTATTTCTTTTTTATTTTTTAAATTCATTTAAATCTCCATTCCCTGCTGCTGCTGTCTTTCGCGGTGTGCCGCTTCTCTTTGCTATTTCTTCATTTTGATTCAAAGCACTTCATCACGCTATTTGTTTACTTTCTAATGTTCGCTGCTGCTGCTGTTGCTGCTGCTGCTGTTGCTGCTGCTGCTGCTGTTACTGCTGCTGCTGCTGCTGCTGCTGCTGGCTAGCGCTCAGCAGCAGCAAAAAGCTGCTGCGTTATTTAATTTTTGTCCGTCTTTTCTTCTTGTCTTTCGGAGGCCTCGGGCCTCTTTGAGGCCAAAGGAAACAAACAGCAAAAAAAATAAGCTGCTGCTGCAGCAGCAGCAGCAGCAGCTGCTGCTGCAGCTGCTGAGGAAGCTTGTCCGTCAGCAGCGAGAAAAGCGCATCCCCGTCTGCTTCTTTTTGCGCCTATTCATTTATTTATTTATTTTATTTATTTATTTTATTTATTTATTTATTTATTTATTATTTATTATTTATTTATTTATTTATTTATTTATTTATTTATTTATTTATTTGTTCTAAGACAAACTAGTCCGCCTCGGCGTCCGAAGCCTCCATGCTGCCGCGGCGGAGGGCGCCGTTGGGGGCCTGGATTTCGGCTAAGAGGAGGGCCTGGAGATAAAACAAATAAATTAAATTTAAATTAAATTTAAATTTAAATTAAATTTAATTTAATTAAATTTAAATTTAAATTAAATTTAAATTCAAGTTTAATGCAACTTCAAAATTAAAAAATTAAATTCTGATTCTGCAGATGCACGCAAAGAACCAACCGCAGCAACTCAGCTGTACGTACACCCCAAAGCCCCTGCTGCAGCAGCAACGAGGAACCCTCAGGGGCCCCCGAGGCCCCCAGGGGGCCCCCGGGGGCCCCCCCGGCACTCCTGGGGGCCCCTAGGGGCCCCTGGGGGCCCCTAAAAACCATCGGGGGGCCCCTAAGTCCTTCAAACGCCGCCGGGGGCCCTCTGGACCCCCGCGGGGGCCCCCAGAGCGGCCCTGGGGGCCCCCGAGGGTCTCCAGGGGCCCCTCGAGCGCCCCCGGGGGCTCCAGGGGGCCCCCAGGGCCCCCAAAATTCCCAGGGGGCCCCCAGGGGGCCCCCAGGGGGCCCCCAGGGTCCTGTTTGGGAAGTGCTGACCTTTTCTAAAATGTATTTTCCCTCTTTGTACTTCTGAGAGTCTTGAACAGCAAAGCGGTAGCGCCAGCCCACGTTGGTGCCGCAGTCGTTGCAGTAAATATCGACGATTGTGTGTTTTCCTGCAGCAGCAAAGCGGAAAAAGGGGAATAAAAGCAGCAAAGAAGGCCCCACAGGCCCCTCTAAAGAAAGGAGTTGCAAAATGCTTCAAATGGTACTTTTAAAAGCAAAAAAAGAGCTGCAAAAAGGAAGAAAAACGGAAAAAGAGCGCACGGACCAGTGGTCATGACGCGGTCTTCGCACTGGCCTTCGGACACGTTGCTGGCTCTGCGGAAAAAGGACAAATCGGGGCTCTTTTGAGCCGTTTTTTCGATTTAAATGAATTTTAAAATAAAAAATAAATCCATTTAATGCAAAAAAATCGAAAAACGCGCGGAAATTACCGGTTAAAGAGCCAGGCCGGTCCGGTGCGGCCGCGGAACTGGCGCGAGGCGAGCTGGCTGCGGGCCGCGAGGTGGGAGTGGCACTGGCGACATCTGCGTCGCAAAACGCCGAAAAGGAAATTAAAATGAAATAAAAGTCCAAAAAATGAAAAAGATTTTCAATTTGGAGTTCAAAAATGCATTTATTTGCGAGTTTGAGTTCAATTTCGCGGAGAAGTGAGAGGCGCACATGTACACCTTGTGACACGTCAGCCACTCCTTGAACAGCCGACCCATGCTAAGCCAAAAAAAGCCGCAAATTAATTCCAAAAAGAAAAAATAAATCCAAAAAAGAAATTCTTTTTCAAATTCCGATCTTTTGGAGCTCCCAAAACCCAAAATCCAACACCGCAGCAGCAGCCGGGGGGGCTGTGTCTGCTGCTGCAGCAGCAGCAGCAGCAGCAGCAGCAGCAGCAGCAGCAGCAGCAGCAGCAGCAGCAGCAGCAGCAGACGGCAGCAGAAGTGAAAGGCGAATTTGTTTTATTTTGTCTGAATTTTTAAAGTTTTAAATTAAATTAAAATTCCAAATAAAGATCAAATGAGGCAAATTCCCCTAAAGGGTCTCCAGCTTTAAAACGCATGCACGCCAAAAGAAAACATTTGCAACTTCATTTAATTTAATTTAATTTAATTTAATTTAATTTAATTTAATTTAATTTAATTTAATTTAATTTGTTTTAATTTATTTCAAATAATTCAATTCAATTCAATTCAACGAAGTCAACTCCACTCTGTCCTTTAATTCATTTTATTTATTTCGAGTTTGAGTTTCTCAAACTCGAAATAAATAAAATGAATTAAATTAAAAATAAAAGTAATAAATAAAATGAATTAAATTAAAAATAAAATAAAAGTATTTAATAAATGTTTCTTCTTCTTTAAATATTAATTTTAAAAGTTTTTGAATTAAAAAAATAAAAATTCAAAAATTGAATTTTAAATTTGCACTTTCGTGTAGGCGTTGGGGTGTACGTCCACCTCCTGTTGCAGAAGTTTCAAACAAATCTTCAAGTTGAAAATCATTTTCTTTTAACTTCCAATTCAATTATTAATAATACAATTAATTTTAATATTTTCAAATATTTCATATTAATAATATAATTAATTTTAATATTTTCAAATATTTCATTTTTAATTTTCCTTTTTTTGTTCTTTTATTTCCCAATCTGAAGCCTCTGAGGCGCAGCACGAAAACGTCTGCAGCAAATAAGCTGTTTGCTGTTTCGAAACGCTGCTGCTGCCGCTGCTGCTGCTGCTGTTGCTGCTGCTGTGCTGCAGCTGCTGCTGCTGCTGCTGCTGCTGCTGTGCTGCAGCTGCTGCTGCTGCTGCTGCTGCTGCTGTGCTGCAGCTGCTGCTGCTGCTGGGGCTTGCAGGTTTGCATGCTGCAGCAGCCTTGAAGCAGCAAATGGTCAGAGCAGCAGGAAAGAATTCATTTAAATGAAAGATTTATTTGTTTTTCGAAGCAGCAGCAGCAGCAGCAGCAGCAGCAGCAGCAGCAGCAGCAGTGTGGGGAGCTGTCTGTACACCCCAGCGCCGCGCGCGCGCAGCACAAAGGGCTTTTTGGCTGCAGAGCGCCAAAGGGAAAAAGGAAAGCAGCAAAAGAAGAAAAAAGGAAAAGAAGTTTCGAAATAAAAAGAAATAAAGAATTAAAAAAACCTAAAACGCAAACAAACAAACAAATTGCACTTTTCCGACTTGCACTTGAGGCGATTTCGGAAATGTAATTTCTTCTTTTTTTGCTTTTTTCATTTTCCTTTTGTTCTTCTTTTCTCCGACTTTGTTGCAGCTTCTTTGCTGCTCCTTTTGCCTCTCTTTTGGTCCCTTCTCTAGGGTTTAGGGTTTAGGGTTTAGGGTTTAGGGTTTAGGGTTTAGGGTTTAGGGTTTAGGGTTTGGGGTTTCGGGTGTATGTACAGCTCACCGTGTACACCAGGCCCCCCACAAAACAGAAATCCAAAAAAGTAAATTCAAATAATTTTATATTTGCATTCAAGCGGCAAAACCACACATAGCCAAGGCCTAAAAACACACACCCTAAACCCTAAACCCTAAACCCTAAACCCTAAACCCTAAACCCTTTTTGAGTTGGAGCTTAAAGCATCAATGGGCCGCATGCAAAGAGAGCTTGACTCTGTCTTAATATTTAAGAGCTTATGCCTCTTTTAAGAGTGTCCGAGGTTTACGAATGAGGGTTTAGGGTTTAGGGTTTAGGGTTTAGGGTTTAGGGTTTAGGGTTTAGGGTTTAGCGGTGTTACCCAATGTAGGCAGAACTCCGCCCACTGCGATGAACAAAACCACCAGCCACTCTGGGGCCTGCAGAAATCAAAATTAATTCAAATGAATAAATAAATAAATAAATAAATAAATAAATAAATAAATAAATAAATAAATAAATAAATAAAACATATTTTATTTATTTATTTATTTATTTATTTGTTTATTTAATTTATAGGCACTTGGTTTTCATTTCTGCATTCAGGCTTCATTTTCTGCTGCATGCATTTTGACTTTGAAAAGCAAATAAACAAAAAGCAAATAAAACAATTTAAATTAATTCAAAATTAAATTAAATTAAATTAAATTAAATTAAATTAAATTAAATTAAATTAAATTAAATTACTTGTGGCTCTTCGGGCTGGAAAAGATGTTTAATTTGGGGCTTTGCATGCAGCGGTTCTTCTGCGGGGAGAATTTTGAAGTGTCTGTACACCTCAGGAGCAGCAGCAGCAGCAGCAGCAGCAGGAGCAGCAGGAACTGACACGTCCAGCAACTTCAGCGGCACAGGAAACACCAACGAAGCAGAAAGCAGCAGCCTAAAAACAAACAGACACAAACCCTAAACCCTAAACCCTAAACCCTAAACCCTAAACCCTAAACCCTAGAGCGCCGCTGCACTGCAGCAAGCCCCAGCGCAGGCAGCAGCTGCAGCACGAACGGACGAAATGAACGGAAGCAAGTCAATGAATTCTAATTATTTATTTATTTTAATTATTTTATTTATTTATTTATTTATTTATTTATTTATTTATTTATTTATTTATTTATTCATTTTAAACTTACTGCCGATATGCATGCAGCGGCTCTCGCTGGGACAAAATCAATTCGAAGTCATACAGCCCCGAGACAGGCAAAAGCATCTCCTGAACAAACCCTAAACCCTAAACCCTAAACCCTAAACCCTAAACCCTAAACCCTAAATCCTAAACCCTAAACCCTAAACCCTAGCCCGTAAGCCTTAGGCTTAGGAGGCTGGAAAGGAAACCCTAGAGTCTAAAAGGTCAGTCACTCAGCTGCAAAGCAAATCTAAACTGCATCCCTAAACCCTAAACCCCAAACACTAAACCCTAAACCCTAAACCCTAAACCCTAAACCCTGAGTAGCTGTCGAGACACAGCTACCTGCAGCTAGCCACAGCTAGCCACAGCTAGCTACAGCTAGCTACAGCTAGCCACAGCTAGCCACAGCTAGCTACAGCCATCCACAGCTAGCTACAGCCATCCACAGCTAGCCACAGCTAGCTACAGCTAGCTACAGCTAGCTGTAGCTAGCTAGGGGCCTCACGGGGTCTCCAATTTTGAGTTGGAGTTTGAAATATCCTTGAGGAGTTTTTTGAAAATGAAAAGAAGAAAAAAATGGCAAAAAAGCAGCAGCAGCAGCAGCAGCAAACGGCTGCCGCAGCGTCACCAGCAGCTGCACCTGCAGCAGCAAATGATAAATGCAATTTATTTATTTATTATTTATTAATTTATTATTAGTATTTATTTATTTATTTATTATTAGTATTTATTTATTTTTATTTATTTATTTATTTGTTACTAGTATTTATTTATTTATTTATTTATTTATCTATTATTTAACTTATTTATTTATTTATTATTAGTATTTATTTATCTCTTTATCTATTATTAGTATTTATTTATTTATTACCTATTATTATCAGTATTTATTTATTTATTTATTTATGTATTATTAATATTTATTTATTTATTTATTTATTATTAGTATTCATTCATCTATTTATTTATTAATCATTAGTATTTATTTATTTATTCATTATTGGTGTTTATTTATTTATTTATTTATTTTTTTATTTTAGTATTGCTTTATTTATGTATTCATTATTAGTATTCATTTATTTATCTATTTATTCATTTATTATTAATATTTATTTATTTATTATTAATATTTATTTATTTATTTTTAAGTATTTATTCAATTATTTATTTGTTTGTTTGTTAAAAACTGCAAGCTTTGTCGATTGGCCTTCTCACTTAATCTTTTCTTTTTCTGTTTTTCAGCTTTTCAATTTTTTTATTTTGTTTTTATTTATTTTTATTTTATTTATTTCTCTCTTTTATTATTTTCTTTTATTACTCCTTTTGTCCTCCTAGTTTGCCCTTCTCGGGTCTATTCTTATCTATTTCAGAAACTTTGGGTTTAGGGTTTAGGGTTTAGGGTTTAGGGTTTAGGGTTTGGGGTTTAATGTTTAGGATTTTGGGCCTCAAATTTAGCTTTTAGGGTTTAGCTTTTAGGGTTTAGGGTTTAGGGTTCAGGGTTTAGGGTTCAGGGTTTAGGATTTATGACTTTGTGGTTAGGGTTTGGGGTCTAGGGTTTAAGATTTTTAGGGTTTAGGGTCTACGGCTTAGCGTGTGGAGATTAGGGTTTAGAGTTTAGCTCCTTAGGGTTCACATTTTAACATTAGGCTTTAAGATCTAGAATTTAGGGTTTAGGGTTTAGGGTTTAGGGTTTAGGGTTTAGGGTTTAGGGTTTAGGAGTCACCTGAGACAGCCGCTGGGCGAGGTCCGCTTTGGTAAGCTGCAGAAGCATACATATAAAAATAAATGAATAAATAAAAATAACAAACTAATTAACTTTAATTTAAAAAATAATAAATAAATAAATAAATAAATAAATAAATAAATAAATAAATAAATAAATAAATAAATAACAATAAAATGGAACGAGTGAAAAGTAGAAAATAATTAACACAACATCACGCAGACATCATATTGCCAGCAGCAGCCGAACCAGCAGCAGCAGCAGCAGCAGCAGCAGCAGTTGCAGAAGCAGCAGCAGTAATTGAAATAGCAGTAGCAGCAGTAGCAGCAGTTGCAGCAGCAGCAGCAGCAGTAGTAGTACTAGCAGTAGTAAAACTAGCAGCAGCAGCAGCAGCACTAGCAGCACTAGCAGCAGCAGCAGCACCACCAGAAGCACTAGCAGCAGCAGCAGCAGCAGCACCAGAAGCAAAAGCAGCAAAACTAGCAGCAGCAGCAGCAGCAGCAGCAGCAGCATCTCATAGCTTTCTCCTGCTGCTGCATCTTATCGCAGCACTTCCAAGATCAAAACAATCAAATACTAATAAATAACAAATAATAAACAATAAATAAAAAATAATAAAAATAAATAAAATAAATAATAAATAATGAAAACAAATAAAATAAATAATAATAAATAAATTAAAATAAAAAGTTTCCCACCTTCACTTTGAAGCGCAGCAGCGCGGGGGCCTCAATGGGGTGTACGTACACCCCACCGTGTTGGATTTTCGTTTCTTCTTCTTCTTCCATTTCTGCTGTCAATAAAGAAATAGAAATAGATTGAATTAAAGAAGGACCCCAAGCAGCAGCAGCAGCTTCCTGCAGCAGCAGCAGCAGCAGCAGCAGCAGCAAAGAAATAGAAATAGATTGAATTAAAGAAGG